GACCCAGGAGGCATGCTCCAGCCCTCCTCCCTAAGATTCACATCCAGACAAACTAAAGTCTCTAGGACTTTTTTTTTTTTTTTGTGTGTGTGTGTGTGTGTGTGTACATGTGCATATGTATGCATGTTAGTCTAATAACTTACACGATTCTTATTTGGTGGGAAACACAGACAAAAAAGGGGAAAAATCAATAAACACAGAAAGAAAGAAAAAGGAGGAAGGCATGCTCTTGGAGATTCAGACCAAAAGAGAAACAGAGAAGTCAGTCCAGTGACAGACGGAGTGAAAATGAGAGACTGAGGTCAACTAACCACGAGGTCTGTCTTCCGCAACCTGGAAGCATCACGAGGGCAGGTCTGTTGCCTACTTTGTTAATCATGATATTCCCCAGTTCTTAGAACTCAGGAAGGCTCGATTACAAGAACTGGGTAAACAGAGGGCCTGCAGTTCCCCAAACCACCACAAGGTGGGAGTCTCCTTATTCCCCTGAGCCCGCCAATGCCAAGGTCCCAAAGACAGTGGCTGGAGGATTGGCCCCCCACAGGCCTCTGACTTTCAGGATGTCTTCCCCCGGGCTCAGCCCTGCCGCCTTCCCCTGCACCAGCCCTGGGCGACAACTGACCTTTCCACTGAGACACCCTCTTCTTCAGTCCCCTCCACCACCCTTCCCAGTTAAACAACTCTTTGTCCTTGGCCCCTTCCGGCTGGGCCCTAAGGCACCTGGGTCCCTTCCAGGCCCGGAGATGGGGCTAGGTTGAAGGTGAGGCAGCTGGGACCAGGCCAGGGAGAAGCCCTGGGAACTTCTCAATCAGTTCTTCTAGTCTTCCTGGACCCGGAGTATGGGATCCAGTTCCCTCTTCCCTCTGACACAGAAGTCCAGGCCCCCAGCCCCTCCTCCCTCGGACCCAGGCGTCCAGGCCCCAGGCCCTCCTTGGTCCCTTCTCTTACTGAGATCCTCTGGTGTTCCTTCTCCCTTTCTTTACAGAGACCCCGGYTCCCTCCACTCCCCCCTTCAGGGTTGGGATCCAGGCTGAGTCACAGGAAGCTTTGGGGCCCTGAGTCACGGCCCCCACCGCCCCTCCCTGGGCTGGAGAGCCTGGCTGGTAGTGCTGTTTCCTACCCACGGAACCCTGCTGCCCAGAACTTCAGCAGCTGAAGGCAGGTCCCCTTCCCACCAGGACCCTCAGGGCTGCCCGCTCAGGCCTCTCCCTTGTCCAGTCTTCCCTGTTTTTCTTTTTTAGTTGTGGTCTCTTTGGAGACAAAATTTCTAGTTTTTTCTTTCTCCTCACTTCTGAGTCCCTTCTCCCTCCATCTCTTTGATTTTCCTTGTTCCCGTCTTGTGTGTCTGTGGTGCCAGGAATGGACCCCAGGACCTTGTGCATGCCAAGCACACTCTACCACTGAGCTGACCTCCCCCCGCTTTGATTCCTACATCCCTCTTGGCTGTCCCACTCAGTCTCTCTGATTGTCCTCTCCCACCCTCTGGGTCGGTCTCTGTCAGTTTCTCAAAAGTACCTGAAGGTGGGGACAGAAGCTGTGGAGAAGCTGGAGCTGTTTTGTGGCTTTTGACTCTTAGATGGGTCTTAATGTAGCTCTGGGCCTCAGCTCCTCAATGGGACCAGGATAGAGTTGGAAGGAACGGGGCTGTCCACAGGGGAGCCGATGAAGAGCAGAGGGAAACCCAAAGACAAGCTGGGGGGCGGGGCAAAGGGAGACCTGGAGGTAGGGGGTGAGACAGAGACAGAAAAAAAGTGACTGAGACCTCAATTCAGCAAGAAACAGAGACAGAAAAAGAATCCYAGGGACAGAATGAAGCCCGTGGAGCAGAGACAGGTGGAAAAAGAAACAGACAACACGCGCCTGTCATCCCAGCGGCTTGGCAGGCCGAGGCAGGAGGATAGCAAGTTCAAGGCCAGCCTCCCTCGGCAATTTAATGAGGCTATAAGCAACTTAGCAAGGCCTTGTCTCAAAACAAAAAATGTACAGCTCCCAAGGCTGAGGCAGGAGGATCATGAGTTCAAAGTCRGCCTCAGCGATGGTGAGACGCTAAGCAACTCAGTGAGACCCTGTCTCTAATAAAATACATAACAGGGCTGGGGATGGGGCTCAGTGGGCAAGTGCCCCTGGGTTCAATCCTGAGAGAGAGAGAGAGAGAGAGAGAGAGAGAGAGAGAGAGAGAGAGAGAGAGAGAAACACAGACAATGGTGAATGCAGAGGTGCAGAGAGAGAGAGAGAATGAAATAGAAAACCAGGGACCAAAGAAGAAGACCCAGACAGAGATACAAGGGAGACCCAGAGACACAAAGAGGCTGAGACACAGTGAGACAGGGAGATGGAGAGGCAATGGAAACAGACCGATGGACAGGGACATGGTTAGAGAGGGAGCCTTAACAGAGACAGACCCAGGAGAGAGAAAGACTGAACCCAGAGGTGCCCAGAGCAGGAGAAGTTGAGGAAGGAGTCAGAGGTGAGAGCCAGGGACAGGAAGAGGGAGGAGAGGTGCCAAGGGAGGGTGCAGGCAGCCAGGCTGGGACGGGCCAGGCAGCCACGGACTTTCTCCAGGAGCAGGAGCAGGAGCGCCCGCCCGCCGGGTGGCTGCACTTTCTCCAAGGAGACGCAAGCGTGGTGTCTGGGTGCGCCTGGGTGTGTCTCCATCTTTCTCCCGCCGCTGGCCGCGTGTATGTCACCGAGTGGTAATCAGGAACAGTGTGCCCGGCCCCATGGCAAGGCACCCCCAGGGGTTGTGTTTTTGTCACCGGGCGTGTCTGTGTGTGTGGTTTGGTGTCTCTGGGTGTGTCCTTGTGGGTTGCCTTGGTGTGGTGCCAGACGTCTGTCCGTGAGTGTTTGATTTCCCTGTGGCTGGCAGGTCCTGGGTCCTGCGTGGCACAGGACACGGGAGGGAGAAGGGTTATTTCTACACACTCCTCGGAGAGCAGGAGTCCCGTGCATGGTGAGGTTGGTGTGTGTTTTAAGTGACCACATCAGTGTGTCCCTGTGTCACCGT